CCAGGCTGCTCAGCCAAAGGTCAGAACTTCGAATCCCCCAGTGCTCCTTGGGAGAAAGACGTGACAGGTGGCTTCGGGGTAGATGGGCAGCCCAGAAAAACCCTGTGAGGTGGTTGGGCTAGGAGTCAGAACTGACTTTAGTGCCGCAAGTTTGGGGGTCTACTGAGCCTCGTGATGCTGTTGGGGTTAAAATTACAATGGAAGGAGTGATTGTTTCGGGTTCAAATAAGTGACAGCCACTATCATGTCTTGAAATTTAGAATCAGTTACCTGGATTATCAAGAAACTAAAGACGTTTCCCTTCATGGCAGCCCTGAGTGAACTGCTCAGTCCATCTTCAAGGCCAAAAACTCATTTACCACCTGTGGAGGGTGCAAGCAAGCGTGAACAGAAGCAGAAAGCAAAATTGATGGATCAATTGTAGCTTCAAGAAGAGTAAGCATGCATGAGAAGGTACATCCCTTATCATAAAAGAAACAATACCAGCATTGATGATCACATCCTGGTTACCCTAACAAGATTGTATTGTAACACCCTGGTGATCATGACAAGATTAACTACACCATTCCGATGACAACATCCAAGGGAACAGTATTGAAAAATAATGAGAACAAACGATATATTGAAGACTAGTCAAAACGAATTGTAGTGTCCGGAACATGGGAGTACATGCTAAAAGTAAGCCCCAGCAGAGACTTTCCTGTAAGGGGAGGGAGAACGGGCAGGTCAACTAGCAGTCAGCTTTCCGAGATGGGAGGGAGGGACGGGTAAGTCATTCAGCAGCTAACAAAAATAGAGTTTCTTTTGCTCGTCTGCCTCATTATCATGGATATTGTCCCCCTGGTAGTTCTTCCAAGGTGGTGCCACTGTGTAAGTGCTTGGCGGCTCATCGAAAGGTCGGTGGTTTGAACCCACCCAATGGCTCCTTGGGAGAAGATGCCTGGCATCAGTTTCTTTAAAGATTACAGCCTAAGAAACCCAATCAGACAGTTCTCCTCTGTCACCTGGGGCCCCCATGAGTCCTGAAAGACTCAGAGACATCTAAACACAGCAACTTGGCTGGCACTATTGTAAGAACTCTATTGTCCATTGGCCATCCCCTTACAGAAGGGCCACAAGGAAGAGACAGGCCAGTCAGGGTGCAGTATAGCACCAATGAAACACACAACTTTCCTCTAGTTCTTTAATGCTTAAGCACTGGATGCTAACCATGAGGCCAACGCTTTAAACCCACCAGCTGCTCTGTGGCCGGAAGGGGAGGCTGTCTGACTCCCCACAGTCATGACCCCAACTGTACATGGGTACAGATAAGAGTTGGAAACCCAGGGAATCCAGGAAAGATAACCCCCCAGGACCAATAAGGAGAGTAGCCATACCAAAAGAGGAAGGGGAAAGTTGGGGGAGAAAGGGGGAACTGATCACAATGATCGACATATCATCCCCCCAACCCCAAGGGGACAGACAACAGAAAAGGGGGTGAAGGGAGACAGCGGTCAGTTTAAGACATGAAAAAGATAATAATTTATGAATTATCAAGGGATCGTGAAGAGGGTGGGGAGGAGGGAAATGAGCTGATACCAAGGACTCAAGTAGAATGAAAACGTTTTGAGAATGATGATGGCGACAAATGTCCAAATGTGCTTGAGACAATGGATGGATGGATGGATTGTGATAAGAGCTGTATGAGCCCCAATGAAATGAATTTTTTAAAAAAGAGTGTTATCGTATTACTGCATCTGATTTCCACAACAAAGCCACAAATGTGTTGGGCACTAGCCCAACAGGTGGCAGCTCAAGGTCACCAGCAGCACCTCGGAAGAAAGGCCTGGTGATTTACGTTTGAAAAACAAGCCATGGACACACTGCCAGCCCAGTAGAGCAGAGGTCTACTGCGCACACAATAGGCGCAATTAACAACAGTCCCTGTTCAAAGAATTTTATGTGAATTAACTCATTTAATCCTCATAACAACCCTATAGGGTACATTTTCTTTAAAAGAAAAAAAACATTATTAATTATTATTAATCCCTTTACACATGGGAAAACAGAGACTCAGAAAAGGAACTCTGTAGCCCAAGGACACACAGCTAATTAAAGTCAGAGTATGGGATTTGAACTCGGACAGCCTGGCCCCAGGATCCATGCTTCCCACCCGTTCTGCTAAACCCACTTTGTTATTGTTCTCCACGGTATGAGGCATGGCCCTGGTGGCACTGTGAGTTATGCACCGGGTGCTAACCATGAGGCCAAGGCTTCAAACCCACCAGCTGCTCTGTGGCAGAAAGGGGGAGGCTGTCTGGCTCCCATAAAGATCTACACTCTCAGAAACCGTAAGGTGCAATTCTGCTTTGTCCTATAGGATCACTGTGAGTCGGAATCGACTCCATGATATTGGGTTTGGGCTTTACAGTACCAGCGTAAGTAAAAAAAAAATATATATATATATATATATATACACACACACACACACATATATATATACACATATATATACATATTGCTACAAAATCACAGAGTCCTTTAGTGATTACATATATATATGAAACTCCTCTCAACATGTCCTCCCTCCAGGTCTCCATACTCTAGGCCATCTCTCTAGCTCTTCCCTGAAGAATCCTGCGCTCTTTGGTGATCACCACGTCGGAACAGCAGCTCTGGCATCCTTCAGGAGGTCAAAGCATCTTCCTTTCACTGGTTCTTTGAGTTTGGGGAGTAAAAAGGAGTCTGAAGGGGCAAGGGCAGGGCTGCAGAGTGGGTGGAGTGAGGTTTCCCTACACTGTTCTCATTGGCCAGCCCCTGCCACCCTGGGAGAAAGTGCAAGGGAGTGGTCATGATGCAAATATATATATATATTGTCATGATGCAAATATATATATATATATATGGTCATGATGCAAATATATATATATATAGTCATGATGCAAATATATATATATGGTCATGATGCAAATATATATATATATGGTCATGATGCAAATATATATAAGGGAGTGGTCATGATGCATATATATATATTCGGGATATATCCCGAATATATATATCCCGAATGCGACTTCCCTGCCTTTCCTCACCAAAACAATTCTTACCTTGCTTAAGATTTCTTCCAAAAAAGCCCCTATGTCCCTCCTGGGTCTTTCTGGAAAATCTATCAAGATGACCTCTTCCGAGTTCAAAACCAGTAGTTGCCCTCGCCTTCTGTGCCGACCTCTTTTGCCTTGGATGTAAATGGCCCGGCAGAAGCCAGTTTTGATTGGACTATTGCTGTTGATTGTTCTTATTAGGGACCCTGAGGACATGAGGACAAGAGTCTGGCTGAGAGCTTGTTAGCAGCTGCCCACCGACCAGAGAGACACGTTCCCACGTCTTGTTTGGGGAAAACATGCCTGTAGGAAGGAGACTCCTAGCAGAGGACTCTTTTTCCCCTCCATCGTTCTTATTTTCTTCCCGCCCCCCACCTGCTCGACTTCTTCCCTTTGTCCTCCTCCCGCCTCTCCTCTGCTGCCTTCTCCTCCCCCTCCCCTGGTCCCTTCTGCC